ACATTTAACCGTTTCAACAGTGAAAGGGTGGGACCAAGATGCCAACCTTGTAAGCTATTTCTCTATTTCAAATTCCTGCACCTTCTGTAAGTAGCACTGAGTGTTTAACAACACATTTATTTTGATAAAAAAGCAGCAATCAAATGAAATGAAAAATAAAAAATGAAAGGAAGAAATATTTAAAAATTAATAAAGACAATATTTCACTTAGAAAATTCAGAAAACAGTTTTGTTTATGGATCATCATCAAATTTTCAATTTTGGTCTTTCTGTATTGGCAGTGAATTCTAACTGTTTGGCCAGGTGCCCATTACACAGGTCTACCCAGATAATAACCCTAACCCAGATAATAAATATGACAAAATGGTAAATGGAAAATTATTATATGCAAAGACTTTTATAAGATCTGAAAAACACTGTTCAAATTAAATGACAATATTTCTAAATATTTGACTGCAGGTATTAAGTAGGAAATTGGAAAATCTTTTTTTCTTAAGTAATTTGATAGGCAAATTCATAAGGAAAATGAATTCTCATTGCACACTTGTTGACTGTCAGTTGAGGAGACATTCAGGCTGAGACCAGGATCATAAATCATTTGTCAAAGTGGCAAATATTCATGAGATTAAAAACAAAACCCCAGTAACCTTACTGACCCAATCCTCATGTCAATACTTTAATGTTCGACCTGTCCCCCATGATAGACAAACCCCTGGGGATTGCTCATGCTGTGTAGATAAACTTTAATTTCTCACCTGGAATTGGAGCCAAGAATCAAGTGACGTAATATGCATTATTTTTTGAAGGAAGCAGGATTTAGGCTATTTTAGTAAGGTAAGACTTATTTTAGTAAGGTGTGACTTAATACTTGATAAGACAGGACTTCATTCATTATAATCACAAAGAAATGTCACTTTGTATGTTAAAATGAGGGGAACAGGAAATAGCATTTTTTTAATGATTTCACCCCAAACAAGGCAATAAAGCCACTAAGACAGAACGGTTTACTGAGTGTTGGAGAGTATCAGAAAGTAAAATATTATTAAAGGAAGAGAATAATAAAAGAACAGTAAACAATAAAATATCTCATTGCAGATTCCTAATATATAAGGCAAATATTTTTAGTCATTTAACTTGTGTTTCTAATGAAATTTCTCTGTCTCCCAATATGTCTTTGAATCTCAGTCACACTTTCTGTCTTGTTTGATTTGAGTATCCCCAATTTGTAATTTGCATTTTGGACTCATCATTTTGCTTATAACCATGCATTTTGTCTTCTTGTTGTTTATACTTAGTCCTTTCTTCTTGCTTTCCTTCACTACCTTCTGCAGGCGGATTTGTAGTTTCCTTTCCATGTCTGCTATCTACACTGTCACATCTGCATTGGTTGCCAATAATGAACCCTCCCCCCCTGCAACACAAACTGCTATAAAACCCAAATATCAACCTGAACACTTGAGTTATGTTCATAAATAGCCTCGTAAGATCAAGACATTCATATGGCTGTCGTGCGTGGTGCCAAATCTGGTCAGAAATATCCAAGCTGTATACAACTGTTTTCAAAGATCAATGGTTTAAAAATGGCTTTGAGTAATTGAAGCCTGAAGGTCTTGTCAAAGTTTATCATTCTTCAAACCTTGTGGATTGGTGCTATGGAATCACAAACAAAGAATTGTACCAAATAAGAAAAACCACATCAATTGAAGACAAGAGAAGCAACTAAAATGGATAGCACATGTAACTCAAAGAAAAAATAATGACATGATCAACATGTCAACATTCCACACTACTTTAGACAAAAGGTTAGGAAGGAAACCCCTATCAAAAAGAGCAATGAGAAATGCTAAATGTTTCCTTATAAGGAAACATCTAATATAAACAATACTATTACCATTATACTTAAGCCAGTGTTCCTCCTTTCCTTTCTCAGGGGTGGGGCTATGTGGATGATATAGGTATTCAGAGATGGGATTAGAATGATCTTGAACAAAAAATCAATATCTGCCACCAAGTGTTTCTTATATACGATTACTCATCATATATTTTTAATTGTTTCTTGTATATTTTATAAAAAGGAAAATGACGATCCATATGCTATTTCTGTTTTAAAAAAATCTCAGTCTATTAAATGACAGATAGTTTTCAAATATTCACTTCTGAATATAAAGAGATAACAAATCTAGAATAATATTTTCAGATTACTGCTCTAATATTAAAAGTTAAATGCAACAAATCATCATTAAGAGATTATTTTTACATACATATTTACAAGGTTACAGGATTAATAGATTTTGACTTTTAAAATCCAGATATAGTTACATAGTTTAACTATTTTAAAATGTAGTTTAATTTAAAAACCAGACGTGCAATATCTATTTTATAATCTCAATGCACCTTTACTATTTTAAAATTCACTATTTTAATTGCATATATGAGGTCTGATCAAGAAGTATGCAGAGTGAAGCCCCTTGTCACAGATTGACCTTGAACTCTGTCACACATACACACTCACTCACTTCTGTTGTTGTTTATCACAGTGCTTGGAAGGAAAGTGTGTAGAGTGTGGTCGTCTCATCACACCACAGAGGTTTCACCAGTCTCCATCGCTTGTACTATGGTTTTTAGCTAAGTACAGCATTCCCCAGATCCAACAACCACCATATTCCTCAGATCTCACCCCTTTGGTACTTTTTCCTCTTCAAAAATCAAATCCCACTTGAGAAGAACTAGATTTCAAGATGTTGAGAAAATCCAAGAGAATGTGATGAGGCAGCTGCTCACTATCTTAAAAAAGAAGTTCCAGGAATGTTTCAATCAGTGGAAATGATATTGGATAAAGTGTGTGGTTTCAGAAGAGGACTACTTTGGAGGAGAATAAATGCTGAATTGATATGTGTTGTAGTTTTATTTTTATAGTCCCAGTCCAGATACGTTTTAATCAGTCCTCATATAGTTTACCTACTTTAAAAAATCAATATTTAATATATTTATTCTAATTAGAAATGAAATTTATGTATTTTAAAATGCACAGGTATATCATCTCTTATAAATTCAAGATAAAGTTTATTGTAAAATTTTATTTATTTATTTCAAAATATTGATAGAATTTATCTGTTTTAATTCAAGAGACAGTACATCAAATTTAAATTCCTGATAGAGATATCCTTTTCTTTTATTTCAGATGTAGTTATTCTATTTTAAAATTTAGACATGGTTTACTTATATTAATATGTATATGTAGATGACATATTTTAAAATCCAGATGTAGTTTACTTCCTTTAAAATGTAATTATAGTTTATTTATTTTATAAAAAAGATGTAGTATACATATTTTAAAATCCTGATTTAGTTCAATTATTATAATGAATTTAAAAAAAAATAGTTGTATTTTATCTATTTTAAATCCAGATGTGATTGATATATTCTAAAATATAATAACATTTTTTTCATTTTAAAATCCTGATGTAGTTTATTTGTTTCAAAATCCAAATGTTATTTATATATTTAAACTATGCAAGAAAGAGACCAGCTTACTGAGTTAGGAATCTGGGGAAATTAGCTTGAATCCAAACCGGATGAAGAAAAACGACAGTAGTATATAGGAGGTGAGTGTGAAAAACCTTTTTTCATTGGCTGATATTGACTAACATAAGAATGGTCGGACTCCTAGCCATGTTGGAATATTTTTTCTTTGCAACGTCAAGGTGTGTAGCACAACGCTTTCAAGAATGTGACCTGACTCATCCAGAGTCAGGTGGGAGTTGCTGTTTGAACCAATACGATGTGAAACACAAAATCATCACTGAAGACCACCTTTGATGCAGCTAAAATTTATTATGCAACTATTTAAATTGCAAATAGAATCTATTTTCATTCACAGTTACACACAAAATCAATTTTTATTTGTTTTGTTTTGAAAATAATTTTCTAATGCAACAAACACTTGTATATATGAAAATGAATTCAGTACAGAAACATGACACAAACATATTAACATGTTAGTGTATTAAAGGAGGTGTGAATAATATAAGGGTTATTTATTTTTTCAAACATTTCATCTCAAGGAAGGCAATAATGCCACTGAGATGCATGGGATTACTGAGTATGGGAGAAGATAAGAAAAAGAAATGATATTATTAAAGAGTGAGAAAAATAAAAGAACAATAAGACAGAAGATAACAAATGACATTGTATTTAAATTTTTGAAGATCAAACTTTAGTGAGAAGCAAGAACCTGGAAAAAAAGTTCCACAAAAGTGAGAAGTGTGAGAGAAGAAACTGTTAGCATAGAATTTATGGTTACATCTAATCATTTCAACTGTAAAATGATGAAACTTTGCCGCCAATCAAGTACTGTGCTTAAATTCATAAAGTTTAAGTACCATAGAGGAAAGTTCACCAGAACAATTACCATGAAAGTTGTGATGCTTTCTAGTCTGTAGTGTATAAGGTCTACTCACTTACCGAATGACTACTCACTTATTAGTAGTCATTTGACTACTCCATGCAAAATAGGACAACTCCATTTTGCCTCTGTCACTACAAAAGTATTTATAAAAAAGGTACAGGGAAGCTACATAGTGGCAGTGGTAAAGTGACTGAAGCTGAGATGCCAGGTCATGACTAAAAACATTGCAGATTGAAAGGCATGAATGTATCTTCCTTTAGCTATGGGTTAAATAGCAGGGTAAACTGGGTTCTATTGCTGTAAGGTGGCAAGATGTCTAGCAAATTGTGAAGAGATAGGGACTCCATCAGTCTATCTTACCCTAGACATGCCACTGTTTCTATAGCTACAGTATCTTATGATCCTAATGGCTTAGGGAACTTGTGCTGCATTATGCATGAGTGGATCAATAGATTCAAACAATAGCAGCAAATAAACAAGTTACATGTCACTTAGAAGAAACAAAGCCATTTCCTTGTAATGCAACTTATTTTTTCTCTCTTCTGTAGCCATGTTTAAGATCTTATTTACAAGAGGAAAAAAAAGTACTTACAAAATGGGGGAGAAAATGTTTGGCTTTCAATTGATATTCTTGATGTTGTTTCACCTGAAATTATAAAAAGAAAGAAATTGCTTCAAGAACAAAATGATAATCGCCTCATGCAGACATTGCAAAAAGGGTCTGGTTAGAGGAAGGTAAACAATTTCGTTTCAGGTAAAGAACACACGTATAAAAATGTATATTTTGATCATAATTCATTTGAAAAAGAAACATTTACATGATTGTTTTGCTCTGTGCATATGGGGCTTTCATTGACTTTCACCCCATGCCTGATTTGTATGCATGCAGTTGTCCTCATGTGTGTTCACATTGTCCAGATATAACTTTCACCAGTTTTTATCATCTCTCTGAGTAAAATACCATGCATAAACATTGAACGTAAATCCATTGTACTGCTTCTAATTATCATCAGATTGTGGTTGATAATGCAACAATACTGTAACAATTCAACTGCAAAAAATGACTAAAAATTTTGGAGGCTCTTCACATCAAAAGATGGTGACCTGCCATCATTAAAATTTGTTTTATTCTTGCTATCAATGGGTGTGCAATAAACACTGCAACCAGAAATGCTATATTAATACAGATTAAGGACTCCAGATTATGAATTAAAAGAAAATAATTAAATTATTAAAAATCATTAATTAATCATTCATTTACAGAAAAAAAAACATAATTATTGTTACTACAGAAGAAGGCTGTTGTACACTCCGGCCTTCTTCAGGTGATATACATTGGAATTTTGAACCGAACATTTTACTTCGTCCACCGGGGTAGAATGTTCTAGTTCCACATGCCATGCCTTTTCTGGATATCTCAGTTTCAGTTATTTCCCTTTAGTAACTCAACTCTTCATGTTTTTGTTCACCTCTGCTGTGGCCAGGTATTGAACTCACAATTCTTTAGGTCAAGTCAGTGGATTACTTGAACCAACATGTTTATCCATTGGGCCATGTGTCTTTTGGAGAGTTGAGTTACTAAAAGGGAATTAGCTGAAACTGAGATATCCAGAAGAGGAATGGCACGTGGAACTAGAACAATCTACTCCAGTGGACAAAATAAAGGGTTTAGCACAAAATTGCAATGTATATCACCTAAAGAAGGCCATAGCAAACATTGTGAATATGGCAATAAAGATAAAGACAGCAATCTGAATGATGCAAATAGTGTAAATAGTTACTATACTTCATCTCAGAAATATAGACAGAAAAATGGGTTGATAAGCCATAAATAACAGATTAATCAAGCAATCAGTTAATAGAAGCTTTGAGTTTGTGAATCCATTGTAAATTAATCCCATTATGGTAGACAAAACAAATATGTTTGTATACTTATCTGGCTTTTGCTGGGAAAGTTTCAAAATAATCAAGCCTCAGAGGGATCATCCTCCCAAGCAGTAGCTCTCCTTCAGGAGGGGTCTAGGATCATTACCTGGTACCTGAGGTACCCCTGAAGAAGGAAGTGCTGAGGGGGCTTGAGCAATTTTTCCATAATATTGCTAATAAATTCACTTTAAACTGACCTTGGGTTACATTTAGTTGCAACGTGGGTACACTGATAAATACTCCACGTGTTTTCTTAAAATGTAAAAAAAAATCATTTCTTTTTTTAAATTTGTAAATTGGAGAACTTGATTGATAGCAAAAGAACAGAAAATTTTGAATTTAAATTTTGTCTTTACATTTTCAAAAATTATTTGTTACGAGCATATTATGCTTTGGCTTCTGTAGGGAGATCAATTTAAAAAAGTATTTAAATAGAAAACTGCAACTCTGATTAAATCTTATAACATTTAATGAGGAAAAAACAATTCATATCTGTCATAGATGTGCAGGTGTTATAGTGGTCAGCATCTCAGAATGGTAAATTGGAAAGCCGAGTTCAAATTCTAGTGATTTTTGTCACAGTCACATGCAAATACCTTGGTGAAAGGTACGATTCCATATCTTCTTCCCCCCAGCAATTGGTTAAATAGTACAACTAGAAAAATCATTGTTATTCTTAAAAAATTAATAATGCAATATTCACTTGCAAAAATAAAAGAAATATTCTTACAATTTACTTTGGCTTTAAATAACCTAAAAAGACTTGATAAAGCATAAAAAACAAATCAATCAACCAATTAGTTTTCATATCTGTCATCTAGAGTGATTAATCTATAGCAATATGAACAAAAAATGCTTAGTTCTGGTCACAGTGCCTGAATAATGAAGGTTGATCCATACATGTGTTAAGATGCTCTGTAACATTTGTTTAATTAATTGAAGTTTTAATGTTTAATTAATTTAATATTAAAATTAATTGAAGTTTAATGTTTAATTAATGCAATGTTAAAACTAATTGAAGTTTAACGTTTAATTAATTCAATGTTAAAATTGATTGAAATTTAATGTTTCATTAATTCAATGTTAAAATTAATTGAAGTTTGAAGTTTACATTACTCGGACTATTGTCCTCATCTTTGTTGCCATATTTATCACAACATTTTGGCTGATGTATGCTTCAGCCTTCTTCAGGTGGTTGGAATGCTGAAATGAACCCTTTATTTCACTCGCTGGGGTACACTGTTTAGTGCCATGTCTAATGGATATCTGTTATCTTATGTTAATTCCCCTTTCCAAGTACTCCACTGCCTTAACCAGGTATTGAACTCACAAATCTTTGGGTCTTGTCACTGGATCTAACCAATGCCTTTATTCACTGTGCCATGTGTCCTTAAGTTTTAATGTTTAATTAATTAAATGTTAAAATTAATTGAAGTTTTAATGTTTAATTAATTGAATGTTAAAATTAATTGAAGTTTTAATGTTTAATTAATTCAATGTTAAAATTAATTGAAGTTTTGGGAACAGGCCAGTAAGAAAATGGGTGAGCTGTAACTAAATGATACTAAATAAAAATAAGAACTAGATGATATTCCTAGACATGATCAGTGAAATGAGAAGAGTCTATATGCGTAGATTAAATAAAGGGTTCAGTTCAGAATTCCCTGTAGGTTACCCAGATCAATATAGACCTAAAGAAGGCAGGAGGGAACAACAGCAGAAACACTGTGATGACAGCTACAAAGAAGAGGACATCATATAAATAGTGTAAATAAAGATGATGGATATTTTGAAGAGTTCATTTTTTATATGCATTGATCATCTCCTCTACTCACCAGATCTTGTTTCATCAGACGATTTCCTGTTTCAGGATTAAACTGGAAATACATTTTTTATTTAGTACAGAAAATTGTCCTATGGGACAATGGCCTAGTGGATAAAAGTGTTGATTTGTGACTTGGGTGTACAAAGTGGTTGTGTGTTCTTGTACTCAGTGGAATTGGGTGAGTGATAACTGAATGGTACTAAATAAAAATAAGACGAGATATTCCTAGACATGAGAGGTGGAACAAGAACAGTCTGCCCGCTTAGATTAAATAAAAGGTTCAGTTCAGAATTCGTTATAATTTACCCAGATTAATTTACACCTGAGGAAGCCTGGAGGGTGCAACAGCCAAAACGTGATAACAACAACAAAGATGAGGACAATAGTTTGAATATAAATAAAGAATGACGTGATAAAATCAACCAACCAGAAAGAGAAGGGGCAATATGACGAGGAGGTAAGGCAGTTCAGCTACATCAGACTTGTTAATCTTCACAACTTGAAAGGCAATGCCTTACCCACAAGGGGCTGAGCAGACATTTTAGATGGGGCACACATGGGGAGAACAAAGGAGTTCGAATTAGACATTCCATTATATGTCCATGTTCTTTTAATTTGAATTTAAAAGACTTTTATGGAAAAAAGCATTTATTTTGCATCAGAATATTATTTTTTCAACATAATCTCATTCCTTTTTTATTACTAAATGTTCACCCAATACAATGCCCAAGAGCAACTCAAGGTAGAGATTAACTAAATGATGAGGTTTTTGTATAGACATAAGAGGGTGAAAGTAAGTGCAGCTCATAAGGATAGGTAGGATAGATAATGGTTGACCCTTGACCTGAAGAGGTGAAGATTATAGCATTAGGGGAACTATCCTCTCATTATCCTGTTCCATAAATATTAGCTCTTGGGAGAAAAATATCTGATTACACTGAACTCAATACTTTTGATCAAACATTATACAATGAAAATTTCACATCAAAATTCAGTTAATAACTAGCTTTAAACATAGTGATTTACATACATAAGTTTTTCATTCATGTTCTATGCAAATTACACAAAAACCTTACAACATTTTTTTTTATTGTTGTAGATTACAAAAGAATGTAAAGTAATATCATTTGATTAAAGATCAACAAAAGAAAATAAAAAGAAATCATTTTTATTTGAAATCTTATTGCTCTGAGCTAAGAAATGCTAAAATGAACTCATATTTCGTTTTGTTTTATTTCTTTTTCTTATTATAGGATCGTAAATTTCTTCAAAGTAATCTTACATCTTCTCATAAATATTTACGATATACCTTTTCATGTGGCACAACAAAGCAATGGAGTGCATTCTTATAAACAAAGTCGACATTACTGATTCAAAAAGAAATTCCTCCTCTTAATAATCTGATATCTTTGTTCAGGTTTGTATTTTTATTGCCAGTTGCATAAATTCATAAGGCCACTTTGATTATTTAAAGCAAGTCAAAGGAAATAAGAATATTTCTCAAGCTAACAAATCTGAAAAGGTCTGGAATTTGACATTATTAACATATTTTCAAAGATACATTTACTTTGTTTTCACTTGTACTTGTTTTAAATCATTTAAAAGACCCAATTATAATAATTTACTTGTATAAATAAACTTGTATAGAAAGTGTGAGGGCATCAAGTGCAGACTGAACTCACTACAGTAGTAAAAGTAAGACTAGCTTTTTGAAAGCTTCTTCACATTAAGCTAGTTATGAATTATTTTTTTTAATGATATATCCTTTCAGGATTTAGGCAATCATGGATCTTCACAAATACCTTTTTTATTACCTGAGAATTGCAATAACTTCTTGTTAAAGATAGTGGAGTGTTTTTTCTTATTGTATTCTCCACAGAATTACCATAACTTCT